TCTGGAGTTGAGAGGAGAGTCCATCCAGGTCAGGGACATAGGTGGGAATTGTCATCATCTGAGACAAAGCGACTGGATGAAACTACCCAGGGAGGGCATATAGATGGAAAAGTGACTGGAGAGATGAGCTGGAGCTCTGGGACACCCAAGGTTGAGGGGTGAGGACAAATCAGCCTAAACACAGAAGGAGAGGCTGGGAGGGGGAAAACAGGGGAGAGTGGGGCTGCAGATGTCCAGAGAAGACCAGGTTTCAACAGAGAGGGAGTGGCCCACGTATCACATGCTGCTGAGAGGCCGTACAAGGGAAAGGCAGAATTGGCCGCTGGATTTGTCAAGGCAGATGTTGATGGCCTTCAGAAAGGCAGTCTCAATGGAGTGGTAGGAACAACTAATTCACATGGGGGTGAGGACAGGACACAGCTGGGGCCACGTTTGTCGAGGAGTCTCACTTGGAGAGGAACAGAGGCAAGGGCCAGTAGCTGTGAGGATGAGGGCCAGGAGAGACAGTGCTGAGATGTGTACTGAGATGTGTTTGTGCAGGGGTGAACGAGTTGAGAGGGAAGAATTTTTTTTTTCTTTTGAGACAGGGTCTCATTCTGTCACCTAGGCTGGAGTGCAGTGATGCAATCATGGCTCACTGCGGTCTTGACCTCCCAGGCTCAAGCAATCCTCCCACCTCAGCCTCCCAAGTATCTGGGATTACAGGGGTGCTTCACCACATCCAGATAATTTTTCTTTTTCTTTTCTTTTCTTTTTTTTTTTCTTTTTGTAGAGACAAGGTCTCACTATGTTGCCCAGGCTGGTCTCAAACTCCTGGGTCAAGCGACCCTCTCACCTTGCTCTCTCAAAGCACTGGGATTGCAGGTGTGAGCCACTTCACCTGGCTGGAAGGAATTCTTTACTGGGGTGGAGGCTGCCTGGGAAGGAGGAGGTGAAATCTGATGCGGGAGGAGACTGGCACGCCCTGGATCAGAGCAGGGAGAGCTCACCCAGGCGCAGGTGGGCAGGTGAGTTTGGGGTGGCTGGAGGAGATCGTCCTCAGCTGACAATAGCCTTTGCCACCCGCTCTGTGAATTGATCATTAACATTGACAGATACAGGTGTCTAAGATTAAAGGATACAGCCTCTGTAACAGCTGTCAGCTTTCTTGCACTATTCCAGAGGTCTCACACTGAGTCTGTCCTAGGGAGCACAAGTCTTAAGGGGTGGGTCCGAGAATCTAGATATTTGTGTTTAGTTTAGTGAATCTAGTAAGCAGTCAGGCTTGAGGGTGCCCCAGAGGGGCTCACAGTACTCTTAAGATCATCAGTAATATTATCTGAGTATCCAATGTCCAATCTGCCTGTCGCAGGGCAGTGGAGAAGGTGTACGGGATTAGGGGGTCGAGTTCTGATTTCTCGCCAGCCCTTTATTCTCGCTGTCTACAGATTAATGAACACATCATTTTGCCCAACCTCCAAGAACCCTCAGAATCCGGCCACTGCATTCCTCTCCTGCCTGACCTATCTGGACGGTCTTATCACAAACTTTTCTTACCCCAGAACCTACACCAGTGAAGATTTGCCCTGTGAGGCCTCAACTGGTAGAACCGAGACCCACAGGCCCATAGATGGGAGCTACAGAGAGAATATTTTGGCTTGTCCTGAGAAATTAAAAAAGAAAAAAAGGTTTTGCAGTCAGGATGCTTCTGCCCTTGGATGGAAGGTCAAAGAGAGAGGCAGCATTTCTGGGGCCCAAAGCTAGGGTCACGTGGTGGAGGGGCAGGGGGCAGGGACCACAGAGAGAAGGCTGGAGCCACAGAGGAGCTGCACCTGCGATGGTCACAGAGGGTGGGAGTGGGGCAGCTTGCTTTTCCCCGTCCCAGTCCTCCATGAACGCCTCTCCTTGGTCAACACCCCAGCCCCCAGGAAGCCAGAACCCTACCAAGAGTGGCCAATCCTACCAGGAATTCCTCCTATGAAGCCAGAAGGCAGGGGATTCAGGGAGAGCAGTTCCCTTGGAAACAGAGCAGATACTAGAGAACAAGCAGGCAGGAGATGCACAGGTCCCAGGTGTACACGCCCGTAGCCTCGATGCCTTTACTTCTACAAGTCAGGATTGCTTTTTAATAAGCTTTTGTGGGACAATGTATTTGATGCCTGTGTTCCTAATTAGACTGTAAAGTCCATGAGGTGAGAACAGGAATGACTCCCTTTCCCAGCAGAATACCAGTGTCTGACCCTCACTGTTTGCTGACTGAGCTGGAGAACACGCTTTCAGCCCGGGTTCCCCACTCCAAAGCCTTATCTCCCACCCCTCCTCTCACCCACTGCCCCACTTTCTCCATAAGGAAACTGGAGGTTCCTTAGAGGCCCGCAGGGAGAGCCAGGAACTCTGAGCAGTGTCGTGTGTGGCTGCTGTGTGTGGAAGTTCCACCAACAGAAACGAATACCTTCAGGCTCATCTTGATTGCACCCAGAGCTTGTGACCTTGCTCACAGAATCAGGGACCTGCATCTTGAATGGAGGTTTTAAGTGTCTGCCAAGTCAATGACTTTCTATTTTCTACCATGAGGTCCATTTAAATGGATTCTTTAAAAGCAAAATTATATTTCTTTTTGAATAATTAATACATTCCTGTGGCTGAACTTTCAAAGGGATCAACTGAATATAAAGTGAAGGGTTTCCTTTCCATTTCTGTCCTCCAGCCATTCTGCTCCCCTCCTTGGAGGCAACTGGTGTTACCCGTTTTTTGTATGTCTTTTCCAAGGTTTGTGTCTAATCTACACACACAGAGACACACAGAGATGCACACACACAGATACTTTTTTACATAAATTGTTGCATATTTTACAAAAAGTTCTGTACCTTACTCTTTGTATTTGGTATATCTTAGAGATCTTTCCATATCAGAATATGGAAAGCTGCCTCTGTTTTAATATCTGCATCATGTCCCACCATATGATGTATCATAATTTATTTAAATAGTCCTTTATTCATGGACACTTGGGTTGTCTCAACCACGGGCTACTACAGTGAACAAGCTTTGTACTGTCGTCATTGAGCTACAAAAGTCATTGACCATGGAATTCTCCAGGAAGATCTAGAAAGAGAATAAAAATTAGTGGAAAGTTTGAAACAAATCAGAAAGAGTGGATAGGGCTGTGGACTACAAGTCAAGAGATTTAACTCCTAAAAGTAATTTTTAAAAGGACCCCTATCAGGTTCCTAGCTTCCCACAATTTACAAAACAATTTAATATCTGCTAACTCATTGAGTCTATAGGAAAAAAATAAGCTGTAAAGGGCTTATTATTTCCCCAACTCCTTGACTCACTGACTACATGACCTAAAACAAGTTTCTAGGCCGGGCGTGGTGGCTCACACCTGTAATCCCAGCACTTTGGGAGGCTGAGGCGGGCAGATCACCTGAGATCAGAAGTTTGAGACCATCCTGGCCAACATGGTGAAACCCTGTCTCTACTAAAAATACAAAAATTAGCTGGGTATGGTGGTGCATACCTATAATCCCAGCTACTCGGGAAGCTGAGGCAGGAGAATCGCTTGAACCCGGGAAGTGGAAGCTGCAGTGAGCAGAGATTGTGCCAATGCACTCCAGCCTGGGCGGTAGAGCGAGACTCTGTCTCAAAAATAAAAATTAAAAATAAAGCAAGTTTCTAGCTTGCCAGCAACCTAGTTAATTTGTTTATAAAATAAAGATTATAAGAGTACCTATCTCTTTGGGTCATTTTAAGGATTAAATGAACTACTCATGGAAAGTACTTAAAACAGGGTCTATCCTATAGCAAGAATTCAATAAATGTGGGCTTTTAGGATCATTTTGCAAAAGTGAGGAAAAGAAAACACAGAGCAATGAAGTTCAAAGTCTCCTAGCTCCTGAAGGATAGAGCTGGTGCAGGAATCCAGGTCCCCAGACTTCCAAACAAGTCAGGTATTTGAGCCATGAGGTCTTAGGCATGTGTTTGTAAAACAGTGATGGCAGTCCTGACACAGAGCTGTTAATAATAATTATTGCCATGGAAATTTCCCTGATCTTCTTTGAGAGGATTAGTCCAGTCATGCACTTAGTACTGTAGTTCATCAAATCTAAGATGCCATTGGGTCTAAAGAGTATTGTTATTTTATGAGTCACTGGAAAGGAAAGGAAATAAGGAAGAGAGGGAGGGAGGGAGGGAGGGAGGGAGCCAACTAAAGTTGTAGAACGCTATGCTGCTTGTCAAGCTGTTGTCTCCTAGCTCCACACTTACCCTTCTGGGTTCGCTCTCTCTCTGATGCTGGGGCTGGGACCTGCACCCCCATTTGTCCTTTGCCAGTAGGGGCACTAGAGGAGAGAGAAGAGACTTGCTTTTTCAGGTTTTTCTGAATTTCCTGCCAGTCCCAGTGATGACATTGGCAATTGATTCCAGCTTCCAACTTTTGTCCATTTCCAGAACCAGAATCATATTGCTCCTCAGAGGAAAGAGTCCAGTGGACAGTGCCCACTCTCAGAGGTCTTCGGGGCCCTCCTCCAGGCCCCTGAGGTGTCAGCACCACATGGGAAACATCCCTTCTTTAGAGGTCTTCCTTTTTGACATCTGCGTTCTCCAATATCTGCTTAACCAATTCCGTATGTTAAATTATCTCCACTAAAGTACCTCGAGTGGTTTCCATTTTCCTGCCTGGACCCTGACTCATGAATTATAAGATGACCATTGACTTCAGAAATGTTAAATGATAGTCCTAGAATTAATGCCATAAAATACTACCACAGGGAATTCGTAGATGTCAAGGCTGATGGTGCCTTTGGAAGTGACCTAGTAGACCCTAGAGCTGAACCCAGGGGGATGACGTTCCTTGCTCAAGGTCACACAGCCAGAGGTGGCAAGGCCAGTGCTCCCCACACTGTGCTTGAGTGTTACTCTGCTCACCCTTCGGAAGGGCCTGGCTCCTGCTCCTGGGATGGACAGTTCAGTGACACGCCTCATGGTGAGACGTCTTCATCAGATCTCTCCTTTCTTTCCAGGAAGCACACTTTGCTGGCTAATAATGGGTTTGCAATTTCTGCTGCATTGCTGATGGCCTGCTCACTCCAGGCAGGAGCCTTTGAAATGCTCATCCTGGGACGCTTCATCATGGGCATAGATGGAGGTGAGAGTTCACCATGATGGGGAGGGAACAGTAACATACTCCTTGGGGGTGTCCCAAATGTGAGAGGTGTTTGGGGCTGTCACATGACTGGGGCTCTCTGCTGGTATTGAGTTGGCAGGGACCAAGGATGCTGGAACTCTGCATAAAGTGGGACAGTCCTATGGGATGAACCATCCCATTCATGATGCTCTAGCCCCTAATTGAGGAATGCTGGGCAGGGTCCCCAGTCTACCCCCAAAGACCTGGATGGTCTTCAGCATGTCATGCCTTCCGCTTGGTCACCTTCATCATAACGTTCATATTCCAAGGTTATCTGTGGTTTTCAGGGGGCTTTTGTGAGGATGGTGTTTCTTCTCTGGGCCTCTGACTCATTCGTTGTTTCATTTACTCACCAAGCATTTGTGGAGCACCTGCAAGGTCTGGCACACTGTAGGATGGAGACACAATGATTAACAAGACCCTGTCCCTGGACAGGGACAGAATGGAGCTTACATTCTAGTGGGCAGACAGATACATAAGGTAGATAGTAGCAGGTCCTAGGAAGAAAACAAAGCAGGGCAGGAGGGTGGTGAGGGCTGTTTTAGAAAGGCCAATCAGGGAAGACTGCTCAGAGGAGGAAATATGAGCGGAGACCAGAGGAGCCAAGTGTGAGAACTGTTCCCAGCAGAGAGAAGTGTATGATGTCCCAGAGGCGGAAGGAGGCATGGCACGTCTGAGAAAGAGCAAGGAGATGCGTGGGTGCTGATGAGGCCAAAGAGGAGCTGGAGCCAGATCACACAAGACCTTGTAGGCCACGGCGAGGACTGTGGGCCTGTGCCAAGTGTGCAGGGAGGGTTGAGAGGAATGTGACATGGACTGGTTTGTTCCAATAAGGAAGTGTGAGGGGAAGCCAGGAGTGGAATCAGAGGAGCCACCTGTTCAGGGGAAGGGACTGGGCTGGGCGGGGAGCTAGGGAGAAGGGGACAGATCCTGGCTATGGGAGTGAGAGTAGGAGACAAGATATATTGTCAGACAAACTCTGCTCTCTTTCTAAATAGGCAAATCCATAAAGTGTCACTTTTAGGCATTTGTGGAAAGATTGCAAGCCTTAGGATTAGAAATCTCTGAGTTTGGATCTCAGTTCTGCTGCCTGCCAATTTCTGATTTGTACAAGTTACTTAATGGCTCTGAGCCTTGGTTTTCCCATTTGGAAAATGGAGGTAATAATACCTTCTTTGAAAGGCTATAATAAGGCTGAATGGAAACTCTCTCTCTCTCTCTCTTTCACACACCACACACCACACACACACACACACACACACACACACACACCCCACCACACACACACATGTATATACTGCCTGGAACCTAGCATGAGCTTCTTAAAGGCTAATTCCCTTCCTTGTCGATGTCTTAACAGCTGAGGGTACCGGGTTGTTCAGCTGAGTGAGATGAACAACAAAAATGTCTCAGGGAGAGGTGGGCAGGAGAGTGGGGGCCTGGAAGTAAGGTTGGGAAGAGGAGGTTTCACTTCCCTTTGTTGCCCTGCTGGAGGGGAATAATCTAGGACTCTCTGATAGTCCAAACTCATGATGAAATGACTCCTCGATCATCTGTCTATTCATTAGTCTATTCTACTTTAATAGATGCCTTCTATTCAAGTAGAAGGGAGATGGCTATTGAGAGTTTATCCGTAAGAATAATGGCTGGTATCTATGTAATGTTTTGTAATTGACCAACCGTGTTCATGTTTTTCATCTTTTTTGATCTCCTCCTGTAATGAAAGACTGTTTTTTTCATGTTCATTTTACAAATGCGGGCACTAATGCTCAGAAAGCTGGAGCGGGAAAGTAGTTAAAGGTGAAGACTGGGGAGTCAGACTGCCTGAATGCTCTCACTTGCTTCCATTAATTTCATTAATTTATCTGTATAGGTTAGGTTTGCTGCATTGAAAAACCCGAAAACTTAAGCCATGATGGCACCGCTGCATTTTAACCTTGGCAACAGAGCGAAACCCTGTCTCTTAAAAACAAAACAAAATGAAACAAAACAAAAAACAAAATGTAGTGGCTTGAAATAATAACCATTTTACTGTGCTTTCACTTCTGTGGGTGGGCTGGGCTGTTCTGCTCTGGGCCAGCTCTGCCAATCTTTGTTGGGCCTTCTCATGTGTCTGTGATGGCTTCAGGTTGGTCAGTGACTGGATAACCTGGGATAGTCTCACGCCTGTGTTGGGGTGTTAGCAGGTGGCCTGGTCTCAGGGGCTGTCAGTGAGCCAGCTCATTTCTTGGCTTCCCACCCTGGGCCAGGGGGGCCTGGGTTGCCTCGCATAAAGTTCGTGGGCTGCCAGTAGCAGCCAAAGGAGAAAGTCCCAATGTGTAAGCACTTTGCATGCACATTTCCTGATGTCCCTTGATGTCCCTTTGGCCCAAGCAAGTCCCATGGACAGGTGCAGAATGAATGTCAGAGAGGACTGACTCCCCAAATGTGGATCCAGGGAGGGGATACAAATCAGGGACCACCGCAGCAACCATTAACCTCACAGTCTTGGCCTCTTTCCCACCTGGCATGGCAACTTAATAGTAAGGCCTCCCTGGTTGGGTGATGTGAAAATTAAATGGGCCAGGCGCAGTGGCTTACACCTGTAATCCCAGCACTTTGGGAGGCCGAGGCGGGTGGATCACCTGAGGTCAGAAGTTTGAGAGCAGCCTGACCAACATGGAGAAACCCTGTCTCTACTGAAAATGCAAAACTAGCTGGGCATGGTGGCACATACCTGTAATCCCAGCTACTCGGGAGGCTGAGGTGGGAGAACCACTTGAACCCAGGAGATGGAGGTTGCAGTGAGCTGAGATCGCCCATTGCACTCCAGTCTGGGCAACAAGAGCAAAACTCTGTCTCAAAAATAAATAAATAAATAAATAAATAAATAAAATGATCTACTATGTATGTGCAGTATTTAGTGTAGTTCCAGGCACTTAGTGCCCCACTTCAGGAATGCTAATGGTATTGTTGTCATTGTTGTTATTTGTTTTCTTAATTAATAAAGTACAGATCTAGGATTTGGGTTTCAAAGGCCCAGACTACTTTGGAGAAAGGCTGAATGAGGTTGCAGTGGATCACCTGGGAAGTCCTTTCCTAGTGGAGGCAAGTGAGATTCTCTCAATTTGGCAGTTTTATATTTTATCCATTATCCCCTTTCTTGTTGCTTTGACTAATCTGGGGAGTTGACCCTTCGAACATATAACTAATTGATCTCTGAATTTCCTTAACTAAAAATAAGCTGCATTCCAAGATGGCCCTTTTACAAAACCACAGACATAGAACAAATGTCTTTTAGACCCTTTTTCCTATGAGCTTTTCAAAAAGAAGCAGGAAAGAAAGAAGAACAAAGAGGAAAGAAAAAACTGGGATCTTTCTGACTTGCGGCACGTGGCCTGGAGTCACGACAGGACTTGGAGACTTCATGTCATGTATTCTCATCAACCCTCTCAGAGCAGAGAGAGGAACTCGAGGGCACTTAAGGTGAGACAATTGGTCAGAAAGAAAGGAATATTGCTGCCATTACCTGAACTGGCTGATCTGTTTGTAATAAAGAATTTAAAGCCAGGCCGGGCGTGGTGGCTCACGCCTGTAATCCCAGCACTTTGGGAGGCCAAGGCGGGCGGATCACCTGAGGTCGGGAGTTCGAGACCAGCTGACCAACATGGAGAAACCCCATCTCTACTAAAAATACAAAAATTAGCTGGGTGTGGTGGTGCATGCCTGTAATCCCAGCTACTCGGGAGGCTTAGGCAGGAGAATCACTTGAACCCGGGAGGTGGAAATTGTGGTGGTAAGCCGAGATCGCGCCATTGCACTCCAGCCTGGGCAACAAGAGTGAAACCCCATCTCAAAAAACAAAAAACAAAAACAAACAAACAAAAAAAAGAATTTAAAGCCAAATGATAAACCTGAAGGATTTTGAGATGATAGAAGGCTCTAAGACTTGCTGATCCAGCCAGGGTCTCCCGGAGTATTTGGAACCATAGTAGGACAACAGGACATCTTCCTGGAGTGTTCTTCATCTAGAAGGTTTAGAGAAAAAAAAACATATTATTTTTTACATCAGTACAAACATGATACCAAATGGTGTTGGAAGCAAAATTCATGTACATAATAAAGTTAAAATAGGAGACTGTACTACTACTTTGTGTTTGTGGAAGATTGCACTGGACATGTCCCTGCCATGGCCTTCCCAGTGCTGTCGACATGCCCAGGGGCGCAAGGTCACGTCTTCTGAATTAGGAGCTCGCTAGTGGACAAGCCCATGTCTGCTACTTTAGGAGAAGTCCAAGATCAGCAGGATCAATTGCTTTTGAGGGCTTTTGTGGACAATCTGTTCCAGGCTTCTCTTCTACCTTCAGGTGGTGGCCAGAAATCCTGGCATTTCCTGGCTAATTGTTGCATCAGTCCAGTCTCTGTCTCCTCATCACATGGCCTTCTCTCATGTCTGTGTCTGTGTCTTCACATGGCCTTCTTTTAAGAATGAAAAGTATTGAATTTAGGGGCCATCCTACTCCAGTATGACCTCATCTTAACTTGATTACATCCGCAAAAACCCTATTTCCAAATAAGGCTACATTCACAAGTAACAGGATTTAGAGCCTCAGCATATCTTTTGGAAGGATACCATGCAACTCACTATAAGAGGTGACACTGAATGGAGACTGGAAGGTTAAGAAGCTGTGGAGCTCTGAAAACAGAGAGTTCCAGACAAACAGAAGAGCAGAAGCCGACATCCTATGATCAGAATGAGCCTGGAGTGTTCAGTGAACTCCACATCCAGGACTCCTGGGGAGGAGAGTGGCAGAAGATGGGCTCAGAGGTCAGAAGAGGCTGCTCACGGGTAGGGATGCTTGGTACAGCATCATGGGCCTAGGATGACCAACCATCCTGGTTTGTCCAGGACTGAGGGTGTTTCTGGGTGGTACTGGGCAAACCGGGGTGAGCTGGTCACCCGATGGCGGACTTTTCACGCAGCCTACCTCCTCGTTCACTGCTGCTTTAGCCACTAGTATCTCCCCTTCCGTGTCATCTCGCAATGAACAAATAAGAACAATTCGTCACCATTTATTGACAGCTGAATCTAAGCTGTGCACTCTGCAAGGCATTTGACATGTGTTCCGTAGGCGCGCAGCACCATGTGAAGGAGATGCTACTGCCACCCTAGCTTTACAGAAAAGGCAGAGAAGTTAGCTCCATGCCTCCGCCACTGACGACACTGCCGCTGTGCTACAGCTCCCTCATTTCCTTACTATGTTTTGTGAGATAATGATTATTATCCCCTTGCGGGGGGAAGGAGCATCAGGATAAAGAACAGGTTTTGAAGTGTTATCAAGTGACCACACGTGAGCCCAGTGCCTTACATGCAGTCATTTTATTCTCATTACAGCAGAAATAGTCATCACTGTATTTTGCAAATAAGTGAGCTGAGAGTAAAAGAGATGAAGTGACTTGATTGAGATCCCCCTGTGAGGAAACCAGGGCTGTGGGACTTGAGTCCAGTGTAGCACAGTTTTCCCTCTATTGCCCTGCTTGCGAAGAATAATAGACTAAATTGTTTGGTGGCCAGCCAATTACTCCATGAGGCCATATGCTCCCAATATATGTGTTTTGGATAAAAGTTCAAGCATCATCTGGTCTATGTTGTGACAAATAATTTCCATCTCTTTGCTTCTTAAGCATGTTTGTTTTGAGTGGTAAACCAGAAACAGTATCCTGGGCTAAGAGGCAATGAATGAGATTCCCAGTTTGTAAATTGGGGTGTGCATTCCCTTCACTAATTTTCGGGAAAGTCCTTCCTGAATGCTAGCAACTGGAGTGAACTCAGTTCAACTTGAAGCACATTGATTGGTGCCTAAACTGTGTCGGGAACTATACTAGAGACATTGGAAAACTGAGATAGGAAAGATATTTTTGATGCCCTCACAACCCGGTGAAAAATTAGATGGTAGTAATAGGTGCTAATAATGCTAATTTGTACAGTATTTTACAATGAATGGGTAACTGAGCATATCTCAACTCTCACAGAGATCCTCTGAAGCTAGGCTCAATACTTATCCCCATCTTGTGGAAGCTGAGAGAAACTCACAACCCCACCCAAGTTCCCACAGCTTGTAAGTTGCAGGGATTTGGCCCAAGAGGCCTTGTGACTCCAGATTATGCAGTCTGTGGTCTAAACAAGCAATGAATCTGCCTGGGATAAGTGCAATGTAGTCATTTATAGGCCTATAACGTGGCTTAAGAATAGCCCTGCTCAGGTATGGGGGAAAGCAAGGTTTGTTTTTTTTAAGTTGACGAGTCCTTATATAATTTTTACTTACAGGCCCACTGTGTGTGTAGTAAGCACTTTGTAAAACATCTTTATAACTGTTAGTTTTTATTCAAAATACCTATCATAAGCCTCTGAACATGTAAATTTATCTCAAACATCAGTAGATTATATGTGGGTGACCTATTTTTATAAAATGAGTGTAATAGCATCTGCCATAACTGAGTCCCTTAATTTATGACAAGAGGCAATGTTAGCTGGCGGGAAAAGTTCAAGTTCTAAGATCAGAGGCCCACTGGGGCTCTGTTGGGCAAAATAATTTTTTAAAACATCTCTAGACATGACTTGGTGATTTAGGCAAGTTTCTCAACTTCTCTGTGCCTCAGTTTACTCATCTTTAGAAGAGAAATAGTAACAGTATATTTAATTCAGAAGACTATTGTTAAAAGTAAATATGTTAATACATATAAATAGATGAGAAGGATTCCTGTTACTTGGTAGCCACTGTGTGTATTGGCTATTATCATTGTGACCACTATCACCACCACCACCACACCATCAATATCACCACCATCACTATCATCACCATTACTACTACCACCACAATCACCATCATCATTGCTACAACCATCATCACCATCAGCACCACCACCATCACCATCATTACCATCACCATCACCACCACTACCATCACTACCATCATCATCACCATCGCCATCATCATCACTATTGCTACCACCATCAACATTACCATCATCGTCATCACCACCATCACCATCATCACCATCATGACAGTCATTACTACCACCATTATCACCATCATCATCATTGCCACAACCATCATCAGAATCATCACCACCATCATCACCATCATGACTATCACTACCACCACCACCATCACTACCATCATCATCACCATCGCCATCATCATCACTATTGCTACCACTGTCAGCATTACCATCATCATCATCACCACCACCATCACCATCATGACCATCATTACTACCACCATTATCACCATCATCATTAGTGCCACAGCCATCATCACAATCATCACCACCACATTACCATCATCACCATCATGACCATCACTACCACCACCACCATCACTATTACTACTATCACCACTACTACCATCATTATCATCACCATCATGACCATCACTACCACCACCACCATCACCATTACTACCATCACCACTACCATCATTATCATCACCATCATGACCATCACTACCACCACCACCACCGTTATCACCATCACCATCATTATCACTGTCAATACCATCACCTCCACCAACACCATCAGCTGTGTTCTGTCCTCTAAAATGCACCTCCAGTCATACTTTAGGGATTAAATTATAAAGTACATGGGAAAGCTTTGGCAATTTGTGCAAAGTGCTGGGAAAGATGCTGTGGCTACAGTGCTATTTAATGTCCAGGGCAAAGCAGAGCCAAGAGAGGTACTGTAACCAGAGTGCGGCTCCCTCAGGAAGACACCTCTCTAACTGCTGCTATGCTTCTTCTACAGGCATCACCCTCAGTGTGCTCCCCATGTACCTCAGTGAGATCTCACCCAAGAAGATCCGTGGCTCTCTGGGGCAGGTAACTGCCATCTTTATCTGCATTGGCGTGTTCACTGGGAGCTGCTGGGCCTGCCCGAGCTGCTGGGAAAGGTGAGTGTGGCTCCCTGGTCAACCGCATCTGCTCTCATCTCATGTTACCACTGCAGGAAGGAGCCTTTTCTCCAAAAGCTGGTCCCTGTATATTGCAATTCCTGGTGTTCAAGCCTTTTCCTTATTATTGGAGAAAAGTTGTGGAGTTCCTTTGAGTTTAATTTTTTTTAAGGACATAAAGAATACATAACAAATTGAAACCTTATAGAATGTTTAAGTTCACCCACCCAATAATTATCATTAATAGCTCAATTTGTGTTTAGGCATCTTCTGTTCTTTAAAACCTATATAAACATATATAGTTTATTGTGGTTTTGATGGAATTATGCCATATACATTGATCTACAACCTCGTGTTTTCATTTAATATATTTTGGGCATGTTTTCAAGATGTTAACTTAGCTCTACCTCATTCTTGAGTCTCTTTTTTCCTGAATAAATAAGTAAGTAGAGTCTTCTGGTTTTGGCTTGCTGTTTTGGGAGAAGGTGGGCCTGAATTTGAATCCCAGTTCAATGATCTATTTGCTGTGTGGCCTTGGCAGGGAGAAAAGAAACACTTCACTCAGGTTGAATGGGGTGGGGTAAAATCAAGGAAGGCTTTTCAGAAGAGGTGGCCTCTAAATGGACTCCTGAAGGGTAAGCAGGAGTTAGGCAGGTGATAATGGGGATTGGGAGAGAGGATATACCAGAGAAAGGAAATCAGTAAAGAAAAGGCTCAAGATGGGGCACAGCCCTGGGAGAGAACTCAGACAGCTTTGGGGCTGAGGAGAGAACAAGCATGGGGAGGGTGAGAGATGAAGGTCTGTTCACTGAGCCACCACAGACTTCGCCCTGGGGGAATAGGAAGCCCTGGGCGGCACTGGAGCTGGAGGGTGACATGGCCAGATCAGTGTTAGAAGGTGGCTCTGGGGTGGAGGCGGTGAGTGTAGACTAGAGTGGGAAGGGTGGGGAGGAGAGAGGCAGAGGGCTGCTGCTATTGGTACACATGGTAAGGGAAGGATGCAGCTGCGACTGAGGTGGTGGACATGGGGATAAAGAGGAATGGGTGTGTTCAAGACCATGGTGGAAGCAGAGGCCACTGGACTTGCTAGGATTCCTCCCAAGGGATGCCTTACAGGTATGCAGGGGCGCTCCCTTCCCACTCACACAGGCAGGGCAGGAGGGCGGGCAGAGATTAAACCACTAATGATGGTCGAATGCCCACTGCATGCCAGACTGTTCTAGGTATGAACAGTGCACAAACAGACAAACAGCTCCCTGTGGAGCTGAATTCTAGCAGCAGGGGGCAAACATAACGAATTCGCAAGTCCTAGAGCAGTTATATAAAAGGCTCGTTTGTTATGCTGCTCAAATCCTGACAGCTACTTTGTGAGTAGCTCAGATTTGCAGCCTTGGACGCAAGCAGAGAGAGGTAAGGGACAGAGCTCTCATGAACAAGGACATATTGGTGCTGAAACCAGAACCTGGGTCTGTGTACTTTCAAAGCCACGTATGGGGAGTGTCTCATACAGCCAAGGACGGATCACACTGGTGTTTCTGGGAATGTGCGAGCTCTGGAGAGAAGGGGCTAGTTCTGCCCACGGGGTCCTTTCTGTCCCAGCTGCCGAGCCTCACTGACTCTACGGCCAGCTCCTTTCACATTCAGTGGAAGGTTTTATAAGTGGAGGAATCATTGCATTACATTTTTCAAACAAATTTTCAATGTTTTGAACATTTTTTATTGTAGTAAAATCCACATAAAATTTACCATTTTGACCATTCTTAAGTGTACTTTTCTGTGGTATTAAAAGTGACTTTTTATATTTCAGCCAGTCGAGGTCACCTCAGAGGCATCTGCTTCTGATCTTTTATTATTACCATTCTGGGTTATTATGGCTATAACTTTAGTTTCTTCTTTTGCAAAAACAGAAACAACTCACATTTTACATCTCAGTTGTCGTATGCGTGACGATTTCTATAATTAATTGCATGTGTTAGAAACAGTCTCTCTACCTAAGTGAGGTTCCAAACTAAAGAGACTCTTTTGCTTTTTGTTTTTAAAGATATTTTAAAATTCTCAAAATAACAGCCGTGGCACGCCTGTCCCACTGGAGCGAGGGCGGATCACAGTAGGAATGAGACAAGTGAACCCGTCCTAAAATACAAAAATAGCGGGGGGTGGCGGGCGTGTGTCCAGCTATAGGGTGAGGCAGGAGTGGGTGAAGGGAGGGAGTGCAGTGAGCCGAGATCGCCATGCACTCAGCTGGGCGACAGAGCGAGACTTCAAAAAAAAAAAAAAAAAAAAAAAAAAAAAAAAAAAAAAAAAAAAAAAAAAAAAAACCTCAGCTCCAAAAAAATACATTTAAAAGTTAATGAAGAGTGCTATTGTCCTTTAGGAGTAAAAAAGCAAATAAATATTTGCCTCAGTAGAGCTAAGCTTTTCTCTTTGGGGATCATTTCCAAATTCCTCTTTGTTTATAAATCAATACCAAGTTCTTTCTGCTGCTTGAGTCCTTAAGGTCTTTCTTCAACCTCTGTCTTCATCCTTTATTTATTCATTCACCACATTTGTTAAACATTGAGTTGATGGTGGAACTGCAGCTTTGAGCATGTCAGGCACAGCCCACATCTTAATGTTGCTCAGACTGCAAGGACTGTGTGACCTTGGGCAAGTCAACTCACCTCTCTAACCAGTGTCGTCTTCAGTAGGAGGCATGGTTGCAAGTCCCAAATTCCCAAGCCCCACTGAAGCTTGACTTCCTCTGGGAAAACATCGCTGTCAAATAGTGACTGTTCAGCATATTCCAGGACACCGTGCACCTGTACCTCTCCCACACTGATTTCCGTTTGCTTCCGCGTCTTGTCCTGCCAGTTGATGGCATCTTACTTGTATGCACAATAACCCAGAGGCGTCAAGTTTATCCAGTCATTCAACAAATGTTTAGAAAGCTCCTCTTGTGTGCCAGGTATTGGGTTGGCTGCTGGTGGTAGAGTGGTCAGGTCATCAGGCTAGCCCTGCCCTTGGGAGCTCACAGGAGAGTGATTGACCAGTGGCCACAGGTGATAGGAAAATAGGCACTGACCTCTGGTAGGGCATCGGGGGTGGTTTCCCTGCAGCAGTGACATCTAAACTCATGGCTTGAGGACAAGTAGGATTTATCTGGGTGGGACTGTACGAAGAGAGAGAAAATGGGGGTGGGGCGTTCCAGCAGAGGTAAGAGTATGGGGGAAGGCCCTGGCATTTGTTCAGAGGCAGAAAAACTCAGATGACAGGAGCAGGGAGAGGGAGAGGGAGAGAGAGAAGGAGGGGGAGGGGGAGAGAGAAAGGGAGAGGGAGAGGGAGAGGGAGGGGGAGAGGGAGAGAGAGAAGGAGGAGGACGGGGAGAGAGAAAGGGAGAGGGAGGGAGGGGAGAGGGAGGGGGAGAGGGAGAGGGAGAGGGAGGAGAAGGGGGAGAGGGAAAGGGAGAGGGAGAGGGCACTGGTCAGGCAGATCTGTGGGCAGGAGGGCCACACCTATGCTGTAAATGAGCACAGGGAAGGATGGGCAAGGTGAGGGGTTCCCTGGACCTATGGCTGCCTGGGGGACAAGGGCAGCCCCTACTGTTTCCATCACAGACACTGGCCTAGAGATGACAGATTTTCTGAGTTTCAAGAGATATTACAAATCCGGATTTGTCATATTTCATAATTTGTAAATATTGGAAACTGACCTTTAAAAAACAAAAAACCTACCTCCTGTGGCCTGGGTCCAGCCTTAGGACCACCTTTCACACACCTTGATGGGCAGTGTGTACCTGTGAAGGCTTGTTTGTACCCCAAAGCAATGGGACATGATTGAGGACATGACAAGTGCTTCAAGAAGGCTTTTGGGCTGCAGCATGGAGAAAGAATTGGATCCCAGCCAGGACTGAAGGGGTTGACTGGTCCAGTTATGAGTTGGGTCAGAGTAATGGCAGTGTGGATGGAGAGAGGCGGATGAGGTTGAGTGAGGCTAGTGGTGATGGGATGTGGTGTGCCAGAGAAGAGTCGAGAATAACTCCCAGGCGTCTGGCACATCAGCCAGACACAATAGTGGTACCAGATGCTAAGACAGGGAGCTGTGAAGGAGGAGGAGCAGCTCTGCAGGGGACAGGGTGACAAGTTCACTGACGTGAACTGTGCATGTCACATAGCAACTGGAAGGAAGAGCTGATTCGTGAACATGGGTACCTAGATTCTGAGGCTGGGACACTCTCTCCCAGGGACAACAGGGCTCATGAACATGATGGCAGCCAAGGGGCACAGCTGCCCACGCCCACCTTCTGGCCTCGAGCCAACCAGAAGTTGTACCATTGGTCCCTATAGGCTGTCTCTTCCCATCAGATGGGCGTTTCCAGACAGTCTTGGCCCTGGCCAGGAAGATGGGTGAGGAACCCTGTAAATATCCTTTTGTTTTCAAATTTGTGCTCTGGGAATGTGGATCTAGGGCTTCTGGTCTAGGAAAGAACATCAAATGGGATTTTTTTATTCATGTCTCTGGGGATTTGCAGTGTTCCAGCCAAGTGAAATTCACAGTTATTTCACTAAGCATCAGAATTTCATTTTCAGTATTTTAATCATATTTCTCATTTATCTTCAAAGACTGAGACAACCAAGCTTTGAAAAAAGAGAGAGAAAAACTGGGCTTCAATGCAGGCAATTGCTTTGAAACACAGAGGGTGAAGGAGGTTAGCAAGAAGGTAGCTATTTTATTTATTTTATGACTTCAACTTTTATTTTAAATTAAGAGAGTACATGTGCACACTTGTTTCCTGGGTATATTGAGAGATACTGAAGTTTGGGGTATAATTTATCCCATCACACAAGTACTGAACATACTATCCAATAGTTTTCCAACTTTTGTCCCCTCTATTCCTCCCCTCCATCTGTCCCACTGTCTCCAGTGTCTAGTGTTGTCATCTTTATGTACATGAGTACCCATTGTTTAATTCCCACTTATAAGTGAGAACATGCAGTGTTTGGTTTTCTGTTCCTGTGTTATTT